TGGCCCTCCCAGTGCTCCTTCAGATTGCTGTATGTATTCTTTGTACCCCAGCTAGGCTGTGCCCTCGAGATCTGGTACCACCTCAGGAACAAAGGACGTGCTGTGACTCTGATAATGAATGAACGATGGGGCTTGTGAGGGCCCAGCACCCTTTTTCAGGATGTCAATGAGCCAGACAGAGGCTCCTGGGTCTGACTGTGAGGGGTCTGCAGGATCGATGCTGAGCCCTCCATGGTTGCTCAAGGCCGTGCTGGACACTGACAACTCAAGCCCCAGGGACTGGCCCGGACTGGGGGGACTCTAGGCCAGCCCAAGGCTCCCTGATGCCAGAAGCTGAGCTGCAGAACTTCATCCCCTCGTCACCTTGGCTCACCCCATCCCTGGTGGCTACAGTTTCAGCTGGCCCCACACTGCTTACAGCGGCACGTTCTGGGGCCTAATTCATCGGGCCAGGGATACTTTCCCAGAAACATTCAGAATGTTCCCATACCTGTGGAGTCTCTGTAGAGTGGGCCATTCCCGAGCACTGGGAAACAGGAGTACCTTGGTCCCACCCTCAGCGGACCTTTAGTGCCTCAGTTTACCCATATGTCAAACTGGGGCTGCATCCACCCCTTCTTACGTCTCAGAGATTCAGGAAACATTATTATTAAAGGACTGGCTGCTCTCTGGAGGAAAAGGACTTTATTTTCATGATTTTGTTCTCTAGCTCCCCACCCCACCCCCCCACCCGGAACTTTCTGGAATGTGCTCCACAGGCCAAACTAGAGAGGGAAGCCCAGGATCTGGTGGGTGTCGGCCAGTGAATGGTCTCAGGCCTGGGAACATTCAAACACAGAGGACAATGTTGTCTAAGCACTTTCAGCTCAAAGGGATGCACGTTCAAAGCTGCTAGTATTGAGGTGGGGTCCTTGGGCCAGACAGCCCAGGAATGCCCGGCCCCGGCCCTCGGTGGCGGCATGTGGGGGGGAGGGTGTGCTGCTGGAGGAAGCGACCCTTCAGAAATGAGGGGAGGCCTGTAGAAACGGCCTCCAGATGTGGGCCACCCTGGGCACCAAGCCCAGCTGCTCGAGCTGCAGCCGAGTGGGCCTGTAGGCGTTGAGGTTGCTGTAGGGAGCCGGCGTGCTGTCGTGGGGCCTCGGGCAGAAGTGGGTCTGTGGGCTCGGGGCCCCCCAGGGGCCGTGGTGGGGCTGAGGCCTGGGGGGCGGAGGTGGGTTTGGAGCCAGGGGACTGCCTGGCCCCGACGACACCGACAGAGTCCGGTTCTGGGGGTTGCTGCCCGTCGAGGGGCTGCTGAAGGGGTTGGAGGACGTGTGGTCGCTGGCAGAGCAGCTACTGCCACTGAGGCGGCCGGGCGGGGGGCTGTGGCCGGCTCTGGGCTGGAGGGGGGCCGCCAGCCTGGGAGACTTTGGGCCCATCACGGGCTTGGAGGAGGCGTAGAGGTGGCGGAACTCCTCGTCAAACAGCTCCACCGCCGGGCCCGTGAACTTGGAGAGGATGTTCCGGTGGACGTGGCCGCAGAGCCAGGTGAAGCTGCAGGGGAAGAGGAGCGTGAAGGGTGGGAGTGGGGAGCTGGGCTGACCGCCGGGCTGTGGGAAGGACCCCATTTCATCCTGGCAGCACCCGTGCAGGGTGGCCGTGGGAGCCCCCTCACTGATGGCAAGACTGAAGCTCAGAAACCAGCAAACGTTTGCAGGTGAACGGTAAAGACACCAGGTTGAATCCCGGTGCTCAGATGCTGGCCATCCCTGCGGAAGCACAAAAGGGCTGACAGCTGAGTCTCAGTGTCCCCAGCTCTGTGCCGATGAGTCGGTCCCCTAGCTGCTGAGGCCACTTGTGAAATGTGGGAACGCCTGCCTCTTCTGAACGAATAGGCGTCTGGGGAAGGCACCGCAAGAAAGCGGCCGCTCCTTAGAAGGCAGGGGCTGTGTTCTCTTGAAAGCCTTAAGGGTGTGGGCCCAGCTCAAGCACCTGGACCCGAAGGGGTGGGAGGGGAGGGAGGATCACATGCTGTTCAGGAGGTGGGAGGTGGAAGGGAGAACACAAGGCGGGCCCACAAGCACCAGAATGACACAACTTGGGCATGCTTCGCCCGGACCCCCAGGGAGGACACCCTCCAGCAGGGACCGTGGCCCTCCCTCTGTGTATTGGTCTTAAATGAAAATAAAATTCTGAAGGCATTTATGGATTACTTTTCACGATCCCATGATTGAACCAAATTCCTTTTTATCTCTGATGGAAAAGCCCCCTCATTATCTCTCCCTGCCCCACATCCACACCCCCTTCTGTGCCTGGTGACAGCACAGAAGACCCACCAAAAGGGTCAGGTTAGAGATTTCTGGGTCCCTAATAATGGGAACCCAGGTGTGGGGAGCAAAGGTGGCAGGATGGTCACAGGGAGACATGGTCGCTGGGGGGGGGGACAGGAGTGACCCCCACCAATGGTCTCAGCCACCCCCCCACCAGCCTAGCCCAGCCTGCAGAGTCCCTTCCCGGTGAGGCAGGGCAGGGCCCAAGCGGGCTGCAGCAATCCTGGGAAGAACAAGGAGGCTTTGTTTAAACCCCGCCTCCCACCCGGGAGGAGCCTCCCACACACCCCAGAGAGGTGAGCAGCTGATGCTGGGCTAGGGCCAGCCAGGTGACAGGGAAGGCGGCAAATATGGGGACAGGGGACCCTTGGCTATGCTAAGAAATCAATTGCCCTGTGTAGTTTGAAATCAGACTAGATTAGGCCAAGCTACTGCATGCTTTACGCAACAAAACACGTGCAAAGGTGCCTTAGCAACTCTTCGGACCCCCACGGCCCCTGCAACCCACACTCAGGTCCCTTGTGGGTCGCTGTAGCCCCTGCGTGCCTGCGCACTGTGCTGGGGTCCCCCTCCCGCACACCCCACGTGGCCATTCGTCCTGTGCTCTAGTTTTTACTCTTTTCCTATCTCCACCCATGGTAAGAAATACACTTCATTTCTATTGCTTTTTGGCACTTCGTACATGGAAATGACTTTCACAATCTTTGGCTCAAGAGCAACTCTCATGACTGGTCTATTCTTGGCCCATTTTAATTTATGTAGCTATTTACTTGGTTATTTTAAATAATGTAATAAGCACCAATGAACCCACCACCTAAAATAAAAAGCTAGCATCTTGACAACAACCAGCATCTAATCATAAGGGTCCCTCCCAGCAACCCATTTTCCAGGGCCCCCCAAAAGAAGGAATCATCATCCTGAATCCTGTGGCATAGCTCCTATACTTTCCTTTCTCTATTACAAAAAACAAAAAAAGTTTTATGTGTTCTGGAAAGAAAATGTCTTAGTTGTTTTTAAAGTATATGTAATATTTGGGGATTTTTTTTCACTTAATATTATATTGGTAAGATTTAGCCATGTTATCTGTTTCAGTACTCCATTCATTTTTGATTGCTGTATAATATTCCACTAGTGGCTAGATGATGGTTTATTTCAACATTCTCCCATTGACAGGCATTTGGATTGCTTCTGCTATATTTCTGTTGTGACCAGTGCTCTAATGAACATTCTTACATATGTCTTTTACTGTACCATGGGCTCATTCTCTTGGAAACATGCCTAGGAGGAATTGCTGGATTATAAACCAGGTGAATAGTCAGCTTTAGGAGAAAACTCCTAACTCTGTTGAAAGTCACTGTATAGATTTACAGTCCCATCAGCAATGTAGAAAAGATCCTGTACATCCAGCATTTGGTATTGTCGGTCTTATCTTTTTTGCTTGTTGAAAAGGAATAAAATGGCCACTCATTCTAGCCTTGATTTGCACTTTCCTGGTCACTGATGATGCGGAACACCTCATCATGTTTTCACACACGTTTGCTCCTGGCCGAAACGCCCGCTCATGCCTCTTGCCCACTTTTCCTTGCCCTGCTTTGCTCTTGTGATTCCTAGGAGTTCTTTGTGGTTTTCGACACAAATCTTCTCAGGGCATCATGAAAACCTGCTCTCACTTTGTCATCTGACTTTTCACCTTCCTCCAGATATCTTTCAATGAACCAAAGTTCTTGATTGTAATATAGTCCGATTTAGCAATCTTTTATAGGCAAGGCTCTTTTGTGTTCTGCTTAACACAAAAGAGGGGTGTCTGTGTTAAAATACTTAATCTTTGGGGGCACCTGGGTGGCTCAGTTGGGTAAGCGTCTGACTTCGGCTCAGGTCATAATCTCGCAGTTCGTGGGGATGAGCCCTGCATTGGGCTCTGTGCTGACAGCTCAGAGCCTGGAGCCTGCTTCAGATTCTCCCTCTCTCTATCCCTCCCCCGTTCGTGCTTTGTCTCTCTCTGTCTCAAAAATGAGTAAACATTAAAACTTTTTTTAAATAAAATTAAAAAAAAAAAAGACACGTAATCCTTATCCTAAGGGCTAAATGATATTCATGTATTCTTTTCTACCAAGAGTTTTAAAGTTTGTTTTTGACATTGAAGGCCTTTTAATCTATTGGAGGGTGATTTTTTTTTTTTTTTGTATATGTGTTTTGTATATATATTTTCTGTATGGAGATTTTTTTTTCCTTTCCCCATGCCCTGACATGCCCCATCATGTGCAGGTCTCTCTCTGGGCTTTCTGCTCTGTTCCACTTGTCAGTCTGCTCCTCCAGAGTCACATTGTCTTCATCACTCAAGCTCCATGACAAGTCTTGATCTCTGGCAGGGCAAGTCCTCCCTGCCTGTTCTTCAGACTTATCTCAGCTAATCTTGGAGAAATACATTTTACGTCATGACCTACTCACACGTACAAACACATACATGCCCCTGCAACATGTTTCCAGAACATCCCTTACCTTGGTCTGCTCTTATTATGTTTATTCTATCCTATTTCACTATTAAAAAAATTTCCAGGCATCCTCCACTACATTGACTTCCTATCCTGCTAATGGATTGATGATGCACACAGTTTGAAAAACTTTGTTCCTCTAGCTGCACTGGATGACCAGGACCTAATGTGGACATTCATTCATTCATTCGTTCAACAGATATTTATGGTCATATATGAAACTCAGGCACCTGATTAACTGTACTTCACGCCAGGAATGCAACTGAGAAGAAAACAGACCCAATCCAGGTTCTGCCATCATGTTTCCATCTTGGCTAAACAAGCCCACAGAGAAGCTCTCTAGGGGATGATCTGGAAGCTATAAGATAAGGAATTAGCAGGATAAAGACAGCAGGAATGACCTCTCCAGCAGAGTAAATAATCAGCAAGTGCAAAGGCCCTGAGGTGTGAAAGAGCATGAAAGACCTGGAGGAAAACAGTGTGGCCACAGCACAGTGGAGGGGAAGGAAAATCCTGCTGAGACAGAGGCCATGGTAAGAATGAATTTTTTTTTTTTTTTTTTTTTTTTCATTTCTAGGAGCAGTGACAAGTCTGGAAGGATTTTCAGGATGCAAGTGATTTGATCTGGTTTGAATTTAGAAATCTTTCTGTTCCTGGTGGAGAAAGCCCAGAGGTGGAAGGGCGGCTCGGGGCAGGAATGGAATCAGGGCCAGTTAGGTTCTCATGCTGTGCCCACCAAGGCCCCACCCCTGGACCTGCCATCAGGAAGTGGGAGCTTCCTCCTGGTTGACCCCCCAAGCACCTTCTTAGCTCATGCTGATCTTACAGCACGTATCACACCACTCTACAGCCATTTATCCATATTTTTTGATGACAGAGAAGAGCTCTGTGTCCCCAGACCTGGCACAGTGCCTGTGCTGGGGTAAGACTTTCTACAAGAGCTTAAATGTTGAAATACATACAAGCCCCCCAACCTCACCCCCACCCCTCGGCTGAAGATGCGGACAGAGCTCTTCAGTTTGAACTGGGTGCAACCAGGGCCAGAATATCTGAAGTCCAGGGATAGCTGGATTGAAAGAATGAAATAGAGACTGCTTTAGCTGTGTTTTAACTGGAGACAACTCTGAGAGTCCCAAGGAAAAGGATTTTCGGAAAGCCTGGCAAACAGGTCCCCCTTGAGAGCTGAGTGCAAAACAAGTTATAGTTGCCGCCCTGCACTCTCTCCAGATTCTTCAGGTCTCAGGAACGGCCTTGCATGTCTTCAAGCCCACTGCCAAACCTCCTCCTGACACCTCCCGTATCCGGAGGACAAGCCCAGTAGCAGAGAGGACGAGCTCTCTCTAGGAGAGCCAGAGATCCTAGCCAAGGAAACTGGAGACCCTGGGCCAATCACCCACCCTCTCTGTGCCTCAGCTCCCCCATCTGTCAACTGGAGGAATAATGCCTCCTTCAAAGGCTTGTCAATCCTTACGAAATGTCTGACCACACCTGGCCAAGGGTCTGGCACAAAGCTCAACAAGGCTGGCTCTGCTTCCTTCTGCCCCTACCAAGGGCAAGGGCCGCCCCTGCGTGCTGAGCCCTGTAAGAGCAAATACAAATGAAAACAGGCTTAACTCTCCCTATTTAGAATAAGAGGAGAGACTTTTCCTCCTCTTCATTTTCTCTTTCAGAATTTCTTTCTCTGTCCCTGAAGTCAGAGGAAGAATCGAATGAAGAGGCCTTTTGCTACATTTCCCCAGTAACTACCTGGAGCTTATACCCTTTTGTTCTACCACAATTTCCACGACTTTCCAGGACTTTCTACTCTTCATCAAACCTCATATAAAAATGCTCAGGCTCAACCATGTCTTAGGATCACTTCTTTATGGAGGCTACATATGCCACATAAAACTTATAAACAAGTCCATATGCTTTTCTCTTATTACCTTATCTTGTTTAATTTACAGGCCCCAGGCAAAAAACCTAGAAGGGTAATAGGAAAAAGAAGTTTTTCCTCCCCATATAGTGGGTATGGGTTTTTTCTGGAGGTGATAACAATATTTTCGAACTAGACAATGGTAATGGTTGCACACACAGTGAATGTACTAAATGCCACTGAATTACACATTTAAAGTGGCTAGTTTTATGTTATGTGAATTTCCCTGTAAAAAAAAAAAAAAAAAAGAGGGAGGGAGAGAGAGAGAGAGAGAGAAAAAACTCCTCAGCTATGGTGGGCCCCTGCTTCCAGGCTTGGCTCCTTGGGTCTGGGGCAGCTGCCCTGATAGAGATCTGACCCTTCCCATCCAGGTGGCAAAACAGGTCTAGTGGCAGCTTGGTCAAGGTCAGAGGCCAAGGTCAGAAGCCTCAAGTCCTGATGCGGGGTGTGAGGCCAAACTGGGTCCCAGCCAGAGCTTTATGCCTTGATGGACAAAAGCTGCGAAGCTGGTTTTGGCCACTTGGGGAGGGTAGCTCAGCCCCACCTCAGCCTCTTAGGGAACAACCGAGTGCTGGATGCAGGGCCCAAGGGTCAGAAGCAGGTGGCCTTCCTTTTGCACAACGCCGCGGAGAGATGCTGTGGATAGAAATGCCCTTGGGGCTCAGTGACCCCCGGACGCTGGAGGTGGTCCCAGAGGACGGCCTCTCGTCAGATACCTTCCCGGTATAGAAGCCATGAAACAACCACGTCCCCCTGCAGACGGACCACACTGCATTCAGCTCCGGTGCTGCACAGCTGAGGAAAACAAGACCCAGAAAAGGTGGAGAGAGAGAGGCCCAGAGGAGAGCAAAGGGGAACCTCAGCCCACCCCAGCCACCTCTTCCCAGGCTCCCATCACTCTCTATGTGCTGCTTTTTTTTTTTTTTTTAAGTAATTTCTATGCCTAACATGGGGCTTGAACTTACAACCCCAAGATCAAGAGGCACATGCTCTACTGACTGAGCCAGTCAGGTGCCTCTGATCTGGCTGTTGTTTATCTCCTTGGGGTTACTGGGAGCTCCAGAAGGGTACCCCAGCCCGGAGCGTGCCTGGTATGTACCCAGGAGGGCTTTACGTAGCTGTCCAATGAATGAAGGAACAGAGCCGTGTGGTGCCTTGCCCAAGGTCACCCAGCCAGGAAGCTACAAAGCTGGGAATTGAACCTCTGTCTTCTGACTTCCAGTCTGGGCTGCTGCCACTTCCTGTCCCTAGCACCAGCCTTAGATCCCATGGAATTTGGACACACTTCTGAAAATAAACTAGGACACACACACATACACACAGCTCAAAGCAAATTGCATAGTTTTACAATCGTGCCTGAGAGAGCTGAGGAGGGAAAAAGAAAATTCGATGTCCTATGGCAATCCGAAGGGAAACTGGAAGTGCCTCTGGAGCCTGAAGCTCCACCAGGAAGGGTCCAGATTTCCCTCTTCTGCCCAGACTGGTACTGCCTCCCGCCTCATGTATGTGATAAAGTCCCAGCCCTGCCGGGCACAGGACTGGTAGGGGTGTGTGGGCCTGAGTGGCAGGGGCTGCCGTGTATCGTGCTCAGCCTGGGCCTCCTCCAAGCCTTCGATAGGTGAAACCCGGCACGCACCTGTACGATCCAGACAGCACGTATCTCCAGTCCGAGATGATAAACTTCTCCTGGATTTGGCCGGCGAACTTCCGGCCTGATTTGGCACAGTATACCTCTCCTTCCACACTCCGGATGGAAATGTTCTGTCACAAGGAGAATCAAGCTGTCACTCGCTATGTATACATACATGTTTCTCTAGGAAAACATCTGGAAGGATGCTCACTAAGACATCAACAGGAGGGGTTATCTTTAAATTTTTTTTTTTTCAACGTTTATATTTTTGGGACAGAGAGAGACAGAGCATGAACGGGGGAGGAGCAGAGAGAGAGGGAGACACAGAATCGGAAACAGGCTCCAGGCTCTGAGCCATCAGCCCAGAGCCTGATGCGGGGCTCGAACTCACGGACCGCGAGATCGTGACCTGGCTGAAGTCGGACGCTTAACCGACTGCGCCACCCAGGCGCCCCAGGAGGGGTTATCTTTAATTGGTAGGATCATAGGCCATTTTTATTTTTCCCTTGGCTGAATTTTCTAAATTCTTTTCATTGTCCTGATATTATGTGAATAATGGGAAAGACAAAAAAAAAAAGGGGGGGGGGGAAATGGTAGAATTTAAACAAAGCAGAAAATAGAAGAAAGATGAGGGCCTAATGCCCATACAGCCCTTAGTCTAGGCTCCCATGGACTCCAGAGGCCTGGCAAGCCCAGCCTTGCCTTGTAAGTGACATGAGTCCCTGACCCCAAGCTAGTCAGAGGGAAGTGCAGCCAGAAGGGGTGGCTCTGTTTGTCCCTTTCTCCCCCAGGAACACCTGCTCCCCCGGCCATCAGCCAGAACCCTTGGGAGACTGGCAAATCACAGGGGTCTCCAAGGAAGGTAGGATACTGGTGGGGTCCCATGAATGTCTTTAGTGGCTGTGCGGGCTCTGGGAAGGGGATGCCTGATGCCTCCAACAGTGACTCCCAGCCTCTCCGTAAGCTCTATGACATGTTGACGGGAGGACCACATCCCACCATCCCTTGGTGGTCAGAGGACTGTTACGTGTAGCTGATGTGGGCCATGGAGACAAGGCCTGTGCTGACTCTCTAGGCCTGTTTTGATGACCTCGTGTCGAGGAGGTGTGATCCAGGTAACGTCAAGCAGACGCAGTAATCAGAGGACCCTGAGGCCTGCTGGTCCAGGAGGTGCCTGAACTCAGCAGCATCCCAAGCAGTGAGGAGGGGAAGTGGGGAGAGCAGGGTCTCTCTCCCGGAGGCTGACCTTGCCTGACCTAGAGGAGAGTCGCCAAAGGAACTCCCCATGTGCTGTTGAGCTGGGTCTGCTTATAAAAACTGGGTGGTTTTACATTTGACCTTGAATTTGCATTTGGCCTTAATATGGGCCGCAATGTCCTTCTCTATGTTTTTTGGCTTTTTTTCACTTCTCCAACAGATTTATTTTTGAAAGGAATGGGTTTTGAGGAGGAAAAACATGGGGTAGAGATATGGAATAGAAAATAAATACAAATGTAAGCTGTTTTGCTAATTGTTTTATAACCACAACAAATTCGTACAAAACAACACAATAAAGGTTCAAAGATCGAGGTGTTCCCCTAGGCAAGGCTGAAGATTTCAGTCTCTGGTATTTGGAATTTGGGCTGCAGTCCTTGTTTTTGGATGGATCACTGGGTGTGTGACACAGTCCATGCGATTAACCAGATATGAACAGAAGAATGGCCACTTGGCCCAGGTAGAAGTAGATGAAGCCCTAAATGTGACATGACTAAATGAACTCTCATCTCTGGGTTTCTTTTCTGATTGCCAGAAGAAGGAAGTGGGGAGTTGGGTTCAGTCCAAGAGGATCAGCTTTCTGGTGGGGCTGGGGAGTCCTAGACATGCACCAAGCAGGCCTGGATGTTGTCGCCCTGGCTTATGACGTGTGGCCACTGGGTCTCAGCCAAGGAGAAAAAAAGCATCTGCAGAGATTGCTGCCCACGGGATATCCATGGGGTCCTTGCAGTTCCCAGCCCCCGTGTGTCTGTGTGAGGCCAAAGGGCTATATGTGGGAGTGATGGAGTCCGTTCGCGGTCAAGTGCTGTGGGGTCCTCCTGTTCTCTCTCTCCCTGTCGCTGCCATTTTGGAGGCCATGTATTCCTTATGGCGTAGCTACAAGATGGGGAGGGCGGTCTGTCCTACACTGGACTTTGAGCAAGAAATAAACCTTTATTACGTTAAGCCATTGAGATGGGGGGAATCTGTTAGCGTGGCATAAGCTATACTATCCTTTTTTAAAAAAATTTTAATGTTTATTTATATTTGAGGTGGGGGAGGGGCAGAGAGAGAGCCGGAGGCAGAATCCGAAGCCGACTCCAGGCTCTGAGCTGTCAGCACAGAGCCCCTTGCGGTGGTCGAACTCACCAGCTGTGAGATCATGACCTGAGCCAAAGTCAGGCACTTAACCGACCAAGCCACCCAGCCACCCCCAGCTATACTACCCCAATACAAAATACCTTTTGGATTCTCATTGGGAGCCCCTACCTTGAGGTGGCTGTCAGAGACCTGGACTTTGTCACACATCTCTTGGAAGAGCTTTACGCCTCCCTGGTCCAGCAGCACACAGACAAACACCCCGCGCTTGTTTGCAGCCTCTAGAATGTCACAGAAGATCTCCACATCCGTGAACACATCCATCAGGATGGCCAAGACCTGGGCCAGGGCGGAAAGGTGGAAACAAAAAGAGTCAGGGGCCCCGTGCTAAATGGTTGCAGCCAAACTTCCTAAATCCCAGTGGGGCTAAGAGAGCCCTTCTCACTTCAGTGGGGCTGCAGGAAAAAGAAACGGGGATGGGGGGAGGGGTGCTCTGCCAGGGCAGCATTCAAGGGAAAGAGCCGTTGTGGAGGCCTCTGTGCTAATTCCATCTCTACAGTCCAACCACACGCCCTGTGGCCACTTGGTCCACTGTTCGCGCAGCAGGCACAGGAGGAAAGGGAGAAAGGTAGAGACCGAACGCAAGGAGGGGACGAGAAGAACAAGAGGAGGCGGCCAGGCAGGTTTTGGGCAGAGAGATAGATTTAACGACATGGTTGCTCAGTCATGTGGAGCTCGAAGGCGCTCCAAGGCCACTGGCCTTCAAATGGCGGTAAGCCACACAATCCTCGCCTCAAAAAAATCCCCGTGGAGACCCTATTATAGACTAGACTAGGCTGAGCTGCCCCAGTGGGATGGAGAAGGGAGTCCTGCTCAGCCAGCAGTTTTCTGCCTCCTCTGTCATAACGGAATCCTGGGGAGGGAGCTCGAGACATCCAGCAAAGCGGGGGACACGAGTGTGTGCCTGCCGGGCCAAGCAACCATTCCTCCCCCAGCCAGCAGGACCCAACGTTTGCTTTAAG